AAACAATCATAACGGCAGAGCAAGCGGAGCATTGTTGTGGGAAAAATTGCACTTATTTAGGTGTACACAGAACACGGTGTTGTTCGGCCTGTGGGGGCCATCACGGGTCCCGTTTTAATAATTTGGACTGTCAATGTGTAGAACTCGCCGAGTACTATATACCTGTCAAAAATCACGTTGATCGGATATCGGTAACTCTATGATCAAACCAATTAAAATTTATAAAATGGATGGTGTTATAGTTAACGGTTGAAAAAAAACTAATCTGATTAGATAGCTATAGATATCCGATCAACATGATTTTTTACAAGCATATAGTACTCGATGAGTTCTACACATCGAATGGTTTTGATTAGGAAAACGAGACCCGTGGTAAGCCCCCACGGGCCGAACAACACCATCAATTCACTGCCCGAAAAGTAGGGAATCATCTCCCCTCCCTCACTCTGCACCCACTGTCCCTCACCGTACAGCTATTCCATCACTTCCATCACAATCTTCTTCTACACACTTATTTATACAATTTTTTAATACACATTTTTTCATAAAAAGACAAAAAATTAACCCAAACATCCATATTTTTTTCCTCAACTTTTTAGTTTAAAAAGACAAAAAGTGCACTTATTTAGGACACCCCAAACAACCCACTGGCCCCGTTTGGTAGAGCTGTGGGAAAGTGATTATAACTTATAACTTAACAGCTTATGGCTTATAACTGTAAACATAAGCTGATTTTTGACTTATAAATTAAGTTTCTCCTCCCCCACTCAAAGAATAAGTTGATTTTTAACTTACAAGAAGTTATAAGCTGTATTGTTAAGCTGAACCAAACACATCAAAATAACTTAAATTAAGTTAAAAGTTGAAATAAGCTGCAAATAAGCCCTACCAAACAAGGCCATTATCATTTTGGATAATATATTGCATTTATTTTGGGGCGTTACACTTAAAGAAAATTGGACTGTCTAGTTTGGGCTTATGGGTTATCATAAGCCCTGTTGCAGATTTGATCTGTTAATTTTTTAGACCATTATGTATAGGATATTTTTGACAAAAATTAGATTGTTATGATAATTGTTGTTATATGATTTAATTAGATTTGTCTTGAAAAAATAAATGATCTATTTTAAAAATCATTTATCCATTTTTTGAAAACAAATACAATTAAATGATGTGGTCATAATTATTAGATCAATTTAATTTTCTCATGCATGATTTATATATAAATATAAAGGAATAACATCATTATAGTGGGCCTGTGATGGGTCCACAGGCCCAAGCTAGCTAGTTTAGTTTGGGTGATTATATTTGCACCCAAATAATAACTCAATATGTCGAACTTAAATTTTGAAATTTTAGTTCCAATTATATCTTAATGTAAATTTATTAATAAGGACAATACATATTAAACCCTAAAATATAATATAAAGTTTTTCTCATGGTACACCCAAACAATTTATACATATTCTTCATATTCAACCCTCTTTATCTTCTTCCTAAAGTTTCAATTGTTTTATTTTCATCTTCTTTTTACTCCAAAACTCTAATACACCCCATCAAAACTCACCATTATCATCAATATAATTATTTCTTATTGTGTTGTTATAATTTTTTTTTTTTTTGGATTTTTTTATCAACTAATCGGAGCTTTAGATTCAACAATACAACTTGTCTTTTATATTTCTCTTATCGTAATTTGTTTTTGATTAGTTTCATTTCATTTTGATGATTTTAATTGAATATGGAGATAAAAGTAACAGTTGCTGTTAAAAAAAAAATTGGGGAAAAGAAAGAATTGAAGTTTTGATTATTTGGATGATTGCTTTTATCATAGCTCCAAATGGGTATACTTGGATTTGTAGGTTTAAGCCTCATGATTTTATTCTTTTGAGTTTTTAGGTGAGAATAAATCTAACAAAAAAACGATCTGGCATATACAAATAAATCAAAAAAAAAAACAAAAAACAAAGCTAACAACATTGGCTAAATAGTCTATCAATCATATTTATGAACGCTTATATATATTTTATTTGATATTATTATATATTAATATTATTCAATTGAAAGAGAATAAAGAGGTATAGATGAATAGAAGCGTATGTTTTGTTGTCCTCCTTCGTTGTTCTTTTTCGCTGGTGCCATCGTTTGTGAACAAAAGGAATAATTGTAATGAGAAATCTGTTTAAAGATTTTTAAAGGATTTTTCAAAGTAGTGTAATTTGTGATTTTAGATTTGTCTATTATTATTATTTGGGTGTATCTTGAAGGATAATTTGGAAAAAAACATAGAGTTTATTAAGAGTAGATTATAATCCTAAAGAATTTAATAGAGTGTATTAAGAAACTGGACTTACTTAATGATTATTTAGATGCAAATAGAAATCCCTGCTTAGTTCACTATGTGTGGATTGGAGATAAGCCCAACCATACTTGGTTGGGTTTCTCTCTGGTCATCTAAAAGGATTGAGCCATCCATTAGGGCCCATGAGCCCACCACAAGTCTTACTTTAATAAGATGATCTGAACTGATCTATTGATCTTTTCGGCTCTTGTATATAGATTATTCATGTAAAAAATTATATCTTAAAAAAAAATAGACGATTTATTTTCAAAAAAATCATACTTGTTGTCAATTTTATTGAAGAGATATATGGTCTCGTTTAGGAATAAACTATTTTAGTTGGTTATTTAATTTTTTACAAAAAGACATACAAACAAAAAATAGAGAGTAATGTGATGAGATGTTTTATTTTATTGACTATTTTAGTCTGAGATAGGCTATTTTAGCACATCCCAAATAAAATCATGTGATTGTGATATGAATATGATTTTTTATGGACGATCTACATACGTACATATATAAAATGAATTGATAAGATCATGGGGTTGTGATAGGTTTAGATTCATGATCCACTAAAATTGTTTAGTTCGAATTCACTCAAATGAGTCTCTTTTCGAGAAGAAACTCTTGTGTGAGTCTCTTTTCGGGAAGAAACTCATTCGGATAAATTCGAGCTAAATAAATTCGATGGATGTAAATAACGGTGTTGACAGGTCTATAGGCCTAAATTAGACCAATTTGGTCCATTCATCATATTTATCTTTAAAAAGAATGGATGATACATTTTTAAAATTATATTTAGAATAAATTACTAATAGGTCTTAATTGTTGGATTTAATTTCCATCAAATCCCATTGAAATAAGTCTTAACAAAATCGGCGCTAAAAATAATTTTTGTGACGATTTTTTTACATGTGGCTAAAAATTTACAATTAGTAGTTTTTTTTTTTTGTCACGGTTTTTAGAAATTGTAACTAAAACTTGCAATTAGTAATATATTTATGTGATGAATTTTTCAAATTGTCGTTAAAAGTTAAAAATTAGTGATTTTTTTGTGATAATTTTTTTAAATCGTCGCTAAAATTTATAATTAGTAACATTCTTTGTGACAAAATTTTCAAAATGTCGCTAAAAAGTAATAATTAATGACGTTTTTTAATAGTATCTAATGAAAACTGTCATTAATTATTATAGGATCTATTAGATAATAAATTCACCTATTAAGACTTATACATAAATTCCTTTTATATTTACTATTTATATTTTGATATAAATATGATAAAATCATTTAATTATAATCATTAAATTAATTTAAACAGACGTATAAAATGGGCAAATTAAATAAAAATCAGGTGGTGAACCCTCAAACCCAAATTAATAAACAAATGAGTCTAATCCACTGAATGTGGCAGAGAGAAGGTCAACCCTCCAAACTTGATGTGAGAGAGAGAATCTTATTTTTTTAATCAAATAATCAAAATATTCTTAAATAAAAAAAATTAAAAAAGAAAAAAGCTATGGGCCACCAAAGAGGCAAGTAAGGAAGCTCCATCTGCAACTCTATCCATCTATGGGCCATTTGAGAATATCATAAAAAAGTTGAAGTTAATTTTTGATTTATTTTTGATTATATTATCTTTCACATAAAAAAAAAATTAAAAAATTAATTTTTAACCATCTTCTCAAAATATCTCACGTATCTATGTAATCTATATGCCTAGTCTAGCTTTTGTCAAAAAGGGTGTGGACTTTGAAGAATTAATAGTAGTAGAGTGGACACATTACAGATTACATACACATAATGCTCCTTTCCTTTGAATGGCTAGAAAAGAAATTTAAAAAGCCTTGTCTTTTGGCAGTAAATTCGTTAATGCTATTTGATTTGCTATATATTATAGAGAGAGATATATATATATATATTATTATTATAGAGAGAGAGAGCAATTGATGCCACACTATATACATGTGGTCTAAATAATATTATAAATTCAGATATAACTATGTAAAAATTATCAAAAATTATTATTTTATAATTTAAAATTATTTTATGTAATATAAATCTAATTTTAATCACGTATTAATATTCGGAATAAATTCAGAATAGATAGGTATGCGTTGGTAAACTTTATTTTGTCTAAATTTTGCGAACAGTTTAGATCATTAATTTTGGTATTCTAATAGAGAATTAATGACATGACAATGAACAAAAAAAAATAAAAAATAAATCAAGACTAAAATATCACATCATTGTGAGTGAAACCCACTGTCAATTCATTAGGAGCAAGGATCCTCTAGAGTGATTTTTCCCTAAAGTTTCCTAGAGTACTACATTGTGTGGTTGAGATTTACTGTCAAGTCACATCAGAAAAATTGATGTGACTTGCCAGTAAATCTCAACCACACAATGAAACACTCTAGGAAACTTTAGGAAAGTTTCACTCTAGAGGATCCTTGGTGATTCATTAGAGCTACCTTTTGAACTAAAAAATTAGAGCCCACTGTGAGTGGAGCCCACTCCCAAACTCCGAAAGCATTTTTCATTTTGCGAATTCTGACTTGACAGCAACAGCAAAGCCTTTCTCTGTCTGTGTGGCTTGTTCGTTGAGTTAACAAAGTCAGTCCAAACAGTGGGGCTTCTTTTGGTTATAAATTTGGGACCAACCCCAACCCCAACCCACTTGCCTTAAATTCAGTATCAACAACAGAGTTATTCAACTCCACGACTATTCTTCATCACCTACAGTTCACACCCAGAGAGAGAGAGTGAATGGATGTGGAGAGTAGAGCACATAACAATAACTACAAAGGAGGACAGAGAATGTCTGGAGAAGAAGAAACCACTGTGGATTGGAGGGGCAGACCCTCCAACCCCAGCAAGCATGGTGGGATGAGAGCTGCTGCCTTTGTTCTTGGTCTGCTCTCTCTCTCTCTCTCTATCTATCTATCTATCTATCTATATGTATATATATATATATATGCATATATGTTTACTATGATGGGTTGGGGAGAAGAGGTCCAAATGTTTTCTAACATTTGGGTTTTGGGTCATTTGCTAACTTGGTTACTTAATTTTTTTTATTTTATTTTTTTGCTATTGCTATATCGGAGGTCTTGCATATGGTGAGACGAATTATGATGAACTGAGCTAGTCCCAGTAAATTTAGTTACTGAATTTTGGTTGACAATTTTATACCTTGTCCTCATGTCTTATATATAACTTTCTATGTACTTTGTTTTTAGTTTTAGATATATTCGGTGATGGAGTTTGTTGTGTGTGTGATGAAAATTGTAAATGGAAATAATAGGGCTTCAAGGATTTGAGATAATGGGGATAGCAGCTGTTGGGAACAACCTAATAACATATGTGATAAATGAGATGCACTTCTCACTGTCAAAGTCAGCCAATATAGTGACAAACTTTATTGGTACTGTCTTCATCCTTTCCCTCCTTGGTGGCTACCTCTCTGATTCTTATCTTGGTTGCTTCTGGACCATGCTCATCTTTGGCTTTGTTGAACTTTCTGTAAGTCTCTCTCTCTCTCTCATATTGCCCCTTTCTTTTCTCACTGCACAATACACTTTTTGTCTGCTTCTAACCTCTCACAACCCATCAGCCAAAGTCGCTCAAATTCATTTTTAATGTGAGTGTTTTAAATATCAACTGATACGTATTGGAATTTTAGACTTCATATTTATATTTACTAATATATCGATCAATATTATTTAATATCAGTCAATATAACTGTATGATACTGAAACGTATCCTGATATTGAAAATCATAATCCTATGGCACATACATATTATGTATGTGTATATGAAAGGAAGATAGTTTTGAAACCACCATAACCTTTATTAACTATTTGTCAAAAAAGAAAAAATTTTATTTTTGTATGATGGCCAAAAAATGAGATATAGAGATATATAAAAAGATGCTTAAACAGTTGTTTTTGTGTTTGGTTGAATTTTCTAGGGTTTCATATTACTATCAATCCAAGCCCATCTACCCCAGTTAAAGCCACCACAATGCAACATGGCAACAACAAATATTGGAGACCACTGTTTGGAAGCAAAAGGACTCAAAGCCTTAATCTTTTTTGTGGCACTTTACTTAGTGGCCTTAGGGAGTGGATGTGTAAAACCAAACATGATTTCACATGGTGCTGACCAATTCAACAAAGATAACCCCAAACAGTCCAAGAAGCTCTCAACCTACTTCAATGCTGCCTACTTTGCCTTCTCAGTGGGTGAACTTGTTGCCCTAACTATTCTTGTTTGGGTCCAAACCCATTCCGGCATGGACGTCGGCTTCGGAGTCTCTGCAGCTGCCATGGCAATGGGGTTGATTAGCTTGGTCTGTGGCACTGTTGTTTATAGGAACAAGCCTCCTCAAGGAAGCATCTTCACCCCTATTGCTCAAGTAAATATTATTAAGTTCTCTTTTTTTTATTATTACTATTATTATTATCAGCATAGAATAATACATAGATTAATCAAGAATATTCATAATTTGTTTATTTCTATGAGTTTCATCACATGTGGTTCAATTAATATTTTATGAGCATAGCATAATATATATAATTCAATTTGGACTATTGTTGCTCTTATGCATGTGAGTTCATGTTGTTGGGCTGAATGATTTTGACCTAGAGGGTAGAATTAATTGGTTGTTTAATATGTGTTTATGCTAATTTTGAATATTTCTTTTTTAATGTAATATTATAGATTTTTTTATGCTAATTAGAATAAAATAATTTGTAAGTTGTTGAATAAAGTAGTATAATGTAGATAATAAGTTCAACGTCATGATTCATGATCACAGATAAAGCTTATTATTGTATATCAGTATGTCCTATTGTGAGGGAACATTTACACATGATGGGTCATTGAGATATTCTTAATAATTCAATTGAATAATAATTTTAATTTTTTTTTTTTTTTTTTTTTTTTTTTTGGTTTTTCAAGGTTTTTGTGGCTGCCATTTTAAAGAGAAAGCTAGTGTGTCCATCTAATCCACAAATGCTCCATGGAAGTCAAAGCAAGGTCCCAGATAACCACATCACAGTGCCTTCGAATGCCGCCTCGGGCAATCTTCTTCTTCATACTGATAGGTTCAGGTAGGATTGAAGACTGTATAGCTCTTTCATAACCAAAATGTTTTTCCTTTGGATGATATGCATTTCTTTATCATCTCTCTCTCTCTCTCTGTTCTTCATTTGGTCTTTTCATTTCTCATTCAAAACCCAACAGCCATAAAAATTTTATGCCAAGTGATAAAGAGATTTTACTTTGATTCATTCTTTTCAATCCAATAGACCTTTGCTCTCTCTCTCTCTTTTTATGAAATTGGAAAATTTTTCATAATATTCAGTGTGTTTGGTTTTAATTTTTTAGAAATTGAATTTTTTATTTTTTGTATTTTTTGTTTTTAGTGAATTTTTTTACAATTTTAAGCAAATTTTTTTACTTTTTTAGATGCACCTTACTTAGATGTATCTAAAAAATAAAATATTTGTAAAAAAATATTTAAAAAAATGAATAAATACACAAAAATACGAAAATTACATTGAATTCTCATTTTTTTTTTTTCTTTTTTTTGATATTTTGTGAATTTTTTAATAATTTTTTTCACAAATAGTGTCCTTTTTAAGTATATTTATGTTAAGTGTATCTAAAAATTAAAAAAAAAAATTGCTTAGAATATTAAAAAAAATTCAGTAAAAACAAAAAAAAAAACTACGAAAAACAAAAAATTTTAATTTTCTGAAATGTGAATTCTGAAAATCCAAACCAAACAAACTAATTGATATTCACTGATATTTTAAGTTTCTAGACTTTTGATAGTGATATTTGATTTAGATCTTGAGATTTTGGATTTCTTTGATAGTGATATTTCATTTATATCTCTAGATTTTGGATTTCCTATACATATTTACCAATATATCTATTGATACTATTGAATATCAATTAATTTATGACTGTATCACATATATTGATACATAACTTGATATCATAATTGAAACCAAGTACCAAGTGAGCTAGTCTTCAAGTTTGTCATTCTAGCTTTAACAAGCATCAATATATACTTGTCATCATTCAAATATATATACCTAACAACAATTAAATTTTCAGGTTTTTGGACAAGGCCTGCATAAAAATCCAGGACAATTCAATGAACAATACAAAAGAAAGTCCTTGGAGACTTTGCACTGTTACACAAGTAGAGCAAGTGAAAATCCTCTTCTCTGTCATACCGATCTTCGCTTGCACCATAGTCTTCAACACCATTTTAGCACAACTCCAAACATTCTCAGTCCAACAAGGGAGTTCCATGAACACTCAACTCTCCAAAACCTTCCACATCCCTCCGGCTTCGCTCCAATCCATCCCTTACATCATGCTCATCGTCATAGTCCCTCTCTACGACACTTTCTTCGTCCCTTTTGCCAGAAGATTCACTGGCCACGCCTCTGGAATCACCCCCTTACAACGAATAGGGTTCGGCCTATTTCTCGTGACTTTTTCAATGGTTTCGGCTGCCCTAATGGAGAGCAAGAGGAGGAATTCAGCTGTAAATGAGAAAAAAATATTGTCCATTTTTTGGATCACACCACAGTTCTTGATTTTTGGGTTATCAGAGATGTTCACAGCTGTCGGTCTCATTGAGTTCTTCTACAAACAGTCTTTGAAGGGAATGCAAGCATTTTTAACAGCTATAACCTATTGTTCATACTCATTTGGGTTCTATTTAAGCTCTGTACTTGTTTCTTTGGTGAATAAGATCACTTCAAGCTCATCTAATGGAGGGTGGTTGAGTGACAATGATCTCAACCATGATAGATTGGACCTTTTCTATTGGATGCTAGCAGTTTTGAGCTTCCTTAACTTCTTCAACTACTTGTTTTGGGCTAGATGGTATTCTGGTAATTTGTGTGTACCATCAGATACTCAACAGTCTGGCTTTAATGGGGAGGACTTGAATAACCATCACAGTTTCAACTCTTCCAAACATATTGGAGATGCCAATATTGCTTGAATGGAAATAATTATCTCTATAGATGACTTTTTTAGTTTTTAAACAGTCTCTTATGAGTCTGGTATTGCTATTAGAGATATGTAAAGGCATGCCTAGGGGCTCCTTGTACAAGAAATATGCCGAAGGGCACCTTTTAAGTTGGAAATGCAATGTATTTTATATGGCAATAATATTACATACCCAGAATTTTATTCAGAAATATCAATGTGTGATTCTGATTTATTCTATACATAAACTTCACAGTACACTAATTAAAATCTCAACCACACTTCACCTTTTATGGTAATTTTCTTGATAATTTTTCGTGATCGGTAGAGTTTTCCTTTCTATGGGAAAGCATCTTTTGTCCATGAAATCAATAATACTAAGAACTTAGAAAAATTACTCCAAAAAAAAAAAATCCTAAAAAACATATCTATAGATCACAATCATTCCAAGTGTCAATCATATCCCACAAACTTTAAATCTACACTATATAACTTGTTTCGAGTAAATTTGGAGATAAATTTTCATGATTCATAGCATTTTTATCTTAAAATTTTTCTATTTCTCTGTTCTAATAAGTTCATAGTTATATATGCTGAAAATTTTAAAATATGAGATTTAAGAATCCGTAGAGATCAGAAAAATTATGAGAAAGGAGATCACATGCCATTTTCTATTACCTTGCCTCATTAAGGCCAATATCTATGACTTAATTTTGACAAACATGGCACTTAACAATATTTTAGTTAAGCATGTAGATTGGGAAACCCAAAGCATTTTTCCTTTATTAAACTGTTGAAGATGCATATAGTATATAGGTAAAATGAAGATGCACTTTTGAGGGGTCCCCAAGTACTTTTTTGAATAATTGGTGCCAAGGATCTATGGGGAATTTAGGTGTAATCCCATCTACATGATTCAATGTATATCTCCTTATTATTCATCATGGGCCCTCATCACAGTATTTTAAAAGGCCCAAAAAAAGGCATTTGTAAGTGGTAGGTAGTGCCTCTACTTTCTATAAACAAAAAAACATATCAACAGAGTGCCAAGTGAGAACTATGCAACTGCATTATAATGCACAGTTCTCACTTGTATTGTTATATGTTTCACTTGCATTCTACTAATTGTAATTTTTTTTTTTCCTGTTTATCTAATATTCGCCTTTCTTTTAGTTACTTGAATGAAAGGGGAGGGTTCCTCATTTTCCATTTACCTCAGTCAATTTTGCTACGACACATAAACAAAAATACTAAAAAAACACAAAAGATACACGAATAGGTAAAGTTTTACACAATCTTTTAATGAAATCCATTTCTAAAAATTGTGTTCATTTATATATAATTTTTTATTTGATTCTTTGACAGATTTCTTCGTTCTTATCTCATATTTCTCTTTGCCTTCAAAGAGAATCTAGCTAAAGTGATGTGATGAATGTTCATGCAACATAATGAAACCCCTATCAATGAAGTCAAAAAGAGAAGTAGTGAGAGAGAGAGAGAGAGAGAGAGTGGGAGGTGATCCAATTAGAAGATCTAACTAGGAAAGATGTTCCTATATGTTTGTTGTTCTTTCTCTATCATTTACCTTTCTACAAAGAGACATGTCTCAAACATGTTTCTGATGTTAAAGCTAGGCCTTGTCCTTCAAGACCCTTCACCCTTGAATGTTCTGCTAATACTACGACTGCCTCAATTATCATCAGTGTTGGCTAGAAGACTTGCATGGCCCCCCCCATATGCAAAAATACATTGGTTTCAAGCTCTCTCTCATTCTGGTTATGGAATTTATGATAGCTAACAGCACTAGTATCACCAGAGAGAGAGGATGAATCAAGACCAGTTTTGTGCTTTCCAATTGCTAGTACCCTCTATGGATAAAATATCATTTAAATGTCTTTTTTCTTTCAGAACTTTCAAGTGTTAATTAGTTTTAAGAAACAAATAACAAAAGGAAAGACAAAAGTTCTTAATGCATAGTTTTGGAAAACTTGACTGATATTTTTGGGCTGTACAAGTACAGATTGTATTGGGAGTTTTGTACCAGGTGTTTTGTTTGTTGGTTGATATCTCGCTAATCATTTTTCTTGCTATTTGGTTTTTCCTAATTGATGCGTAGCGCACTATGCTCTCTTTTTTATAAATAAATAAATAAAATAGTAGATGGTTAATGAAGAAGCACTTCATCTACCAGAAAGCACCGCACCTACGAGACTAACCCCTGCTCTCAAATAATTGGGGTCTTCAAGGACATATATAGGTTTGTTTGCTTTGAGTGGCAGGATCAAGAACATAAAAATTTCACACAATATCTAATGTTATGTTTGGATTTTAAATTTATCAACAAAAATAAAATAAAATAAAATAGAAATGATAGAAATAAATTTAGCTTTTCTTTCATGATCCAAACATGACCTAACAACATAACTTTTATTACAAGTTGGTTATAAAAATAGTTTCAGAATCTCTGATCTCTGTCTGACTCTGTCTCGCTTTTATATGATTACACCAGGTGGTCAATTCTTACCTGGCAGCACTTTGCATCTACTTCAATTTCTTCATATTATAATGTTAAATTACCACTAAACCTAAAATCTTAAACGGTTAAGAAATAAGTTCAACAAAGTATATCAAACTCCCCTCCTTTTAACTCCACTTAATCATCAATTCTTGTGGTTTCTTAATCATCGATTCATCTAACTCCAATGCATTCTTCTAGTTTGTCAACTTTTCTGTTATTACAAAAATACTAGCTACCCAAAAAATTTACTAAGAAAAATATCTAAAAATAGCATTGGATAATCAAGATTCATTTCAAATGTCAGTCTCATTACAAAACTAAATCTAAACCACACCATCAACCAATATTCTAGATAAATTTCAAAACAATTTTCTGGTTTCTTAGCTTTTCTGTTATTGTAGACGAAAGATTCCTAGCAAAAAGTAATCAATAATATTCAAAAATCACATGCAAAAGATAGCAAGAGAGAAAGAGGCCCCCTCCCCCTCCCCGCACAGGGCGGGGTAGGCAGGCACAAAGGAAGACCAAACTACAGTTTTGGATTGGAAAAGGAACTAAAAATCCATTTTCCATTTGAAAAGAGTGCAAACCATAAGAGAAGTCTAGTCTTTTCTGGTTTCTTAGCTTTTCTATTATTGCAGAGGAAAGATTCCTAGTGAAAAGTAATCAGCAATATTCAAAAATCACACACAAGAGATAGCAAGAGAGAAAGAGGCCCCTTCCCTCCCACACAGAGCGGCGGAGGCAGGCACAGAGGTAGACCATACTGTAGTTTTTGATTGGAAAAGTAACTAAGAATCCATTTTCCATTTGAAAAGTATGCAAACCTCCCATAAGCGAAGTCTAGTCTAGTCTGAGTATAGTATGATATAGTCTAGTCTAATCACAACCAGATTGCAAGTGTGATCCAACTACTCATGTGGGATCCATCTATGGTTAGGCTGGATTTGGGACACAAAATGTACTATCTATCTTAGACCCAAAAAGCTCCATTATTCACTTCCCAATTTTTATTGGAAACCAATTAGTTAAAAAGCATATACTTGAATTAAATATAGAGAATCCCACCCATTATATGCAGAGAGAAAAAAAAGTCACTGTGGAACCAATTTAAGTTACTTCTATCCACTCATCATTGGATATGCACAGCAAGTCATTTTTCCACCAAAATGAAACACCATTATGCAATCCCCACCTTCTCTCCCATATTAAGCAGGAGTTGACCTAATTCTTGCTATAATCACACCACATCTTTGGCTTCTTATTTTCTCAATGTTTTGCTTCCAGAGCAAAACACTTGAGTTTAGCCTAGTGGCCAGAGCCTCTGTATCTCACAAAAAAAAAAAACTCTGGAGCACATTCATCAAATGACTATCACAAAGTTGTAGTCAGAATCTCTTCCAGAGCAACCTCAATTTTGTAGCTGATAATTAGTAGTAAAAACTAAAAGTATCAAAGCGTTTCCCTCAATACAACAGTAGCACCTTTCCATCAAGAAAATTTTGATTACTTTAAAAACGGAATCCACGAGCAAGAAATAAACTAACCGCTGTTAGTAAAAAGCTATGAACCAGGTAAATTGCAGAGAAAAATATCCCAAAAAATATCTGAGGACAAACCATTTTCATGCAAGCCAAACCCGCCTTGAAGAAAAGAAGTGAGAAGCTATCTAATTAGGAATTTAGCTGGGAAATTCACAATAAGATTATGTTTAGAACCACTTACTTCTTCGTTTCAGGGATACTGTAATGCGGTAAGGAAAATTGGCTTGTGTAAGTAGAAGATTGCAACAGCTATAACTAGCTTAACTAAGATAAATTATTAAAATGTTAAAAATATCAAACGAGTGTTAAACATTGTGGCAACCATATCTGATGAGCATTACGATTACTTTTGTTATCAAACTAATGGTATCAACTCAAAAATTGAGAATCAATATGCTGCGTCTAAACCCTAAATAACACATTGACTGGCAGGGTAAGAGGGGGGAAAAAAAACCAAGGGTAAGATTAATAATGGCAATTGAAGTTACAAAACTAGATTTAAAAGCACAGGCTGAGAAAGTACAGGTACAGATGTAACTATACAAAGGAAACAATAACCAGCCATGACAAGAACATGTGAATGCAGTTCCCCTTTACTATAAGCTGCGGCATTTCAATTCTCACTCCCCAGTTTTGGGTGCCAATAATTCCTTCTTCTTTTTCTCTTTTTCTCACTTTTTGTTTTTTTTTTTTTTTTCTTTCTTCCTTTTTTTTTTTTTTTTTTGGGGGAAAAAAAACCAAGGGTAAGATTAATAATGGCAATTGAAGTTACAAAACTAGATTTAAAAGCACAGGCTGAGAAAGTACAGGTACAGATGTAACTATACAAAGGAAACAATAACCAGCCATGACAAGAACATGTGAATGCAGTTCCCCTTTACTATAAGCTGTGGCATTTCAATTCTCACTCCCCAGTTTTGGGTGCCAATAATTCCTTCTTCTTTTTCTCTTTTTCTCTCTTTTTGTTTTTTTTTTTTTTTCTTTCTTCCTTTTTTTTGTGTGTGTGAATGTGTGACTAATTTATACTGTTTTATCTGAGATACTTATCCTGAGGAAATCAAGAATGGACCTGTTTTTTTTTTTTTCACTCTTTGCAGAAAGAATTTGACACATGCCACGATTCAACAAATTCATCACTCATTCCGGATGGAACAATACTTTTCCCACAATGTTGGAGATTTTGATATTTCAGTCATGAGGTTCTTGAACTTGAGACTGCTATCTCCTCCACTGCAAAATGAAAATAAATAAATGATTGAATGACTATATTATGCGAAATGCAAATGTCGTAGCTTGAATAGAGCAATGAGAACAAACAAACCGGCTGCCATAACATGAAGTTGACCAAAATATTTTCATTTTAATTATTTTCCCGGATCCATATATTTGTATATTTAACTTCATCAAAATTCAAGTTCAACCACCAGTTTGACCATATGATAAAACCAGCTAACCGGCTTAATGCATATCCCCTTTTTATCATCTTCTCCTTCTCAAATGTCATACAAGAATTTCAAATTTCTAGTTTCAACTTAAATGGTGCACAATCCTTTAGGGGCTACATTTAAAAGGTTCTCTCCACATCCTTCACGATTGAACTCACATTTTCCTCACTACCCCTTCCTATTAAACCCTTTGACTTGACCTTCCTCTGTCCCCTACTTAAGCCCTCTGGACCACCCTACGCTTCAATAGATACCCTCCATCCCCAGCATAACTCCAACCCCTTGCAAACCCACTACCTCCCTGACTGTCCATCTGTTTGGGCCTCAAAAGGGAGCATATCCTAATACCCAACCCCTAATCCTTCCTTACTTGACACCGAACCAGCCCAACTTTCATACCAGATTCACCCCTCTTATACTAGGCTTAGACATCACCTCCACCCTAGACGCATTAGCAGACCTCTTAACAGCCCAATAAACGTATGGACGCATTAGCAGACCTCTTACAAAGTCTAAGAGCCTCACCACACAATTGCTCGAAGAGCACTCTGAATCCTGTCTTCATTACGATCAACTTCTTGCTTGACAGCATCATGCTTTGAACTAAAGATAGTGGTTTTCTGGAGAGGATCCACCAACGAGTCTAAAACTGAAAATTAAAATAATCTGGCATGAGATTTAAACATTTGTTGCTCATGCAGACATTACAAAAATAGAACTGAATGGTACACAAACCTGCCAATATAGCAGAGGGACACTTATCTACAAGTTTTGAAATTTTAGCATCATCATGATCTGAAAAAAATAAAATAAATAAATAAAAATTGAAAGATTATTACACTCAATATTCACCAAAGTAATTATTCGTTCAGTAAACTGCTATCAATTAACAATAAAACAATCTCCCATATTTCATCTAACAATTTGAAGAGAGTAAGACGCCAAACAAGTAAAAACATGATAGTTATCCTGGAGAAAAATATGACCACGTAAGTATGCCTCGGATCCAAGTTGGGGGTGGGGGGTGAGCATGTGTTGGAGATAGAGATTATTATTAATCACGTATAAAAAAAATATATATAGACAAGCAAGCAAGCAGTCAATTAGCACACATGGCTGTTAAAATCGAGATCTACATAGGATTAGTGAGAGGGCCTTGTGGGTTGGTGAGAGGATCGTAAGATTCTACTTTTTATTTAAAAAAAATAAAAATACAAATAAAGATGATGCATATTAAAAATAAGGTGAAGAATCACAAACCCAACGATCCTACTTACGATCCCACACGATCCTATTTGCGATCCTACTATAACACCGCTCTACAACGATTTGGATCATTTTGGCAATTTAGGATCGTAGGATAGGCGAAAATGAGAATGCTATTAGAGTTAGCAACACACCATTCAAACCAGATTTAAGGTAGGGAACAACGAAAGATGAAGGGTTCAATCTCAACATACTTTGTCCTATCATGTTGAACCAGATTGTGAGCGATGTTGATAGTCGCCTTATTATCACAATATAACCACATGGAGTCCGTCTGATCAATACCTAGATCACTCAACAATAACTTGATCCATAAGAGCTCACATACCCTTTGTGTCATAGCTCTAAACTTAGCTTTTGCACTTGACCTGACAACCACATTCTGTTTCTTACTCCTCCAAGTAACTAGGCTGCTCCAACAAAGATGCAATACCTTGAAGCCGATCTCCTATCAATCACTGATCCAGCCCAGTCAGCATCTGTATAGGCTTCCACACAAAGATGATCATACTTTGAAAAATAAAGACCCTTACTAGGAGCAGATTTCAAGTACCTCAAAATTCTTATGACAGCCTCGAAGTGAATCTGATGACGAGCATGCATAAACTGGCTAACCACACTGACAGCAACAACAATATCATGACGAGAGTGAGATAGGTAAATGAGCTTACCCACTAATCGCTAATAGCTTCCCCTATCAATAGTTGCTCCTCTTTCATCATCCCCCCAATTTCTGATTGGATTCCAGTGGAGTGTCACAGGTCTAGCAGCCAAGCATCCCAGTTTCCTTCAACAGATCAAGCACATACTTCCTCTGTGAAAAAAATATCTCATCCTTGGAGCGAGCAACTTCAATTCCCAAAAAATACTTCAAGCTCCCCAAGTCTTTAATTTCAAACTCACTGGCTAAATATTTCTTCAACAGAGAAATTTCCTCACTATCATCTCCGTAAGAACTATGTTATCTACATAAACAATGAGTGTTGTAGTCTTATCACGTGAGGAATGTTTCACAAACAAGGTGTGATCGGTCTGACTCTGTTTGAAGCCATATTTAAGCATAGCCTGAGTGAATCAAACCAAGCACTTGGAGATTGTTTGAGACCATATAATGACTTCTGAAGCTTGCATACTTTGCCTTCTGTTTGATGATCCTCAAAACAAAGAGGGATGTTCATATATACCTTTTTTCGAGGGCACCATGAAAAAAGGTATTCTTTACATCAAACTGATGAAATGGCTAATCTAGGTTAGCTACTAGAGAGAGAAGTACTCTGACTAAATTCATCTTAGCCACGGATGCAAAGGTCTCTTGATAGTCAACGCCATATATATGATGTTTATGAATGCTAACAAAGGAAATATTTGACACAAACGCTCTATATGAGGACGACAAATGAGAGTAGGACACAAAATTTGAGATAGGATGTTGAGTACAAAATCTCACACCCTTTCTCTTGGCAATAGGAACATCAAGATCAATGGACTCAAGAGATTCAAAGTTACCTGGACTCTTATTAGAAGCAAGAAATGGCAGTGGAGGAGCAGAAGTGGTCTCTTGTATCCAGTTAACTTTATGTCTGTCTTTGTCCCTGACATAAACTTGCTCTTCCTTATCCTTGGTGACATTGGGCTCTGTAGTCCCAGTAGGAGGTAGTGGTGCCCACTTACGAGGAGGAGGGTGATAACACTTATACCCTTTTTAAGGAGAGTACCCAAGGAAAACACATTTGAGGGAGTAAGGGTCCAACTTACCACGAGTAGGAGAGTGATTATGGACAAAACAGACACAGCAAAATATTTTGGGAGGAATAAAAAACAAGGACTGGGAACCTTGGAGGACTTGAAGAGGAGCTTATTTTGGCAAGACCTGGGTAAGAAGATGATTAATAAGATGGGCAGCAGTGAGAACAGCGTCGCCCCAGTAGGACTGAGGCACACTCATAGAAAAACACATGCACCGAGCCATGTCAAGAAGATGGCGATTCTTGCGTTCCACCACCCCATTTTGTTGAGCGGTATTGGTGCAAGAGGTCTAATAGATAATGCTATGAATAGAAAAATATTACCCTAACACAAAATCTATGCATTCACCACCATTATCAGAACGGAATATTTTGACAGTGGCTCCAAACTGAGTACAAATCATCTTATGAAAATTGCGGAACACGGAAAAAACTTCACTCTTGTCTTTCATGAGATATACCCATGCAGTACGAGAAAAATCATCAATAAATATAACAAACCAGCGATAACCTTTCACAGACACAAGATGGACCCCAGATATCAGAATGTATTAAAAAGAAAGGAACTAACCTTTTATTAAAACTGGGAGCAAAAGAAGCTCTGTGTTGTTTTCCAAATTGACAAGACTCACAAAGAAATTTAGACACATTATTGTTTAAAAAAACAGATGAAAATAAATGCTTAAGTAAATAAAAGAAGGATGCCCAAGACGCCGATGCCACAGCCATATATCATCGGTGGTGGTAGGACTCGTGGTGGAAGAATGAGCAAGCTTGTCCGGTTGATCCAGGAAGTAAAAACCATTTTCTACACTATCACTGCCAAACGTTCCTCCTCGTGACAAAGTTCTGAAAAAAAACAATGATCATGAAAAAATGTCACACTACAATTCAAATCATTTGTAATATGACTCAAGGATAGCAGGTTAACAGAAAAATTAGAAACATGGAGACCAGGAGAGAGAGGTAAAGTAGGGATGACATGGACTAAACCTTTCCCAAAAATAGAATAAATAGTACCATCTGCAATCTTAACTTTGTCCTAACCTAAAGAGGGCTTATAGGCAGAGAAAAGATCAGATGAGCCAGACATATGATCTGAGGCACCAAAATCAATAATCCAGGAAAAAGACTTATGAGACAAGAAAACACAAGGAGAAGAGGCTAAGTTACTTGGGCAGGCAAACGACAAGGAAAATGTACTAAAAGCAGTAGAAGACCGGCGGTCCAGCAAGTGATACAAAACATCCTTAAGCTTAGAAGTAGTCATCATACCAGAGAGACCATCAGAAACCTGGCCAACGGAAGCAGAAGTAGAATAAAGTGTATCAACGGCACTAGACTGGTAAGCCTGTGGATGAGAGTCACGTCTTCCAGACTGGCCTGACCGACCTCCTCTAGAACCAAACTGATCATTGCAACCCCTGGATGGAGTCCCATGAAGCTTCTAACACGTCTCACGAGTATGCCGTGACCTTTTATAGTAATCACAGAATACAGACTCCTTGGCAGCAGACGGAGGGATGAGAGTCAGGTTGAGCCCATCTTTAGAGGTAGACAGTAATGCTAAGCGATCAGTAGAGACAGGGGACATCATAACAGACTGACGACTCTCCTCATTTTGTACATAGGCAAATGCCTCCTGAAGTGAAGGACGAATGTCCGTACTCCGAACCCGACTCCGAACCGGATCATACTCCACATTGAGACGTGCTAGAAACTTGAAGAACCTTTCCTGTGCAATGAACTTCCTGTACCCAACTGAATCAGCAGTACAAACAGGCTTATAGTCCTGTAGGTGATCAAGGCGTTTCCAACCATTAGTGAGGAAAGTGAAGTATTGAAGAACCGTCTGCTCTCCCTGAACAGAACTTTTAATAGAGCAGCATAACTTAAATGCCTATGAGAAATTCCCTTTGCGGGAATAGGTGGTAGCCATAGCATCCCAAACATCCTAGGCAATCTCCATAGACAAGTAGCCCTTGCCAATGTCTGGTACCATCAAATGAATAAGCCAACCCATAATCAAAGCATTGGTAATCTCCCATTGGTCATAACCCAGGTCAGTTGTGCTAGGTGTCTGTATCCTGCCATCCACATACACTATCTTCCTTCTGCTCTTCAAAAACATAGTCAAGCTCTGCGACAACACGAGAAAGTTCTGACCATTAAATAGAGAAATGGTGATTTTAAAACTAAGGTTGGGGTTATCATTCATAGTAGTAGGTATAGGGGAACTCTCACTCCTAGGTGTCTGAGAAGTAGTGGACACAATGGTGGAATCTGCCATAGATACTGTACTACTGAACCCTTAACAAAACTAGTGACAATCACAAACCCGAAAGGCGGTAGTGGAAGGGAAAAACAAACAACCACTATGACAGTATGATAGTATAAAGAATTAATAACTCATATTGTTTTTTATTTTTTTATTTTTTTATTTTTTTTTTAGTGGTCCATGTTCATCACACCAGCTGATTTTCGAACCCTAGGTGAGCTGAAACCCCCCAGGCTTGACACAAATGTGGACGACGAAGCCAATGAACGACGATGATCCAAAGGTGATTCGTTTGGGTTGGCTCCGACGGTGGTTGGTGGCTCCGGTGGGTACTGTATGGATAGATGAATTTAGGTTTTAGGGTTAGGCTCTAATACCATATTATTTTTAGAGAATACCAAGATTAGGGAATGATTAGGATATCATCCCCTATTTATATTAATGAAAATTAATAATTACAAGGGAGCCCTAGGCATAAAATAATTACAAAATAATAATCCAAATAATAATATATTATTCTAACACTGTTCTTATCAATTCTTGCTGCAACGGAAATGCATATAGCGATGACTATGTGACTGCCATAACAAAATAATGATCAAGAAGATTAAGCAAAAAAATGGAAACAACTGAGAAGGTTGTCACCGAGGTTCCACATAAGCCTCAAATAATCATAATTTATTATCAAATTATAATCATATTGTGACGTAATACAAGAGAGAAAAAAAAAGAATAATTGTGTCAACCTTCAATCGGCCAAGTACATAAGTAAATTACACCAAATAAATAGATAACAAAATACCCCTAATTAACCCTCATGACTAAAATACCGCTTTACTCGATATAATAACAAATAAACCAAAGAACTCATCTTTCAAGCACCCCTCTGAAACTCATGATGCAAGCCCAGTGAGCATTGAGAGTTTGTTAAGTAATAAATAAAAGCAAGCAAGCCAAAGTGTGAGTTTTGGTAAAGAATCCGGACACTGTGAGGAGAGGAGAAAAGGGAGATCAAGGGTACCCAACCGAAGATGTGGATGAACACAGTGACAATCAATCATGAAATGCTTTGTATACTCATGGAAGACAGAATTATATATGATCTGTATAGCAGTCTTACTATCAACTAAAGAAGTTTTGAAAGTACTTGTGTACGTGTGGAATTGTCTATGTGCAAGAACCATAACAGCCATTTTAGTTTCAAAGGATTGACTTGAAGTGGTTTATTCTATCATCACTTGATAAAGTTTCACTATCAGAATTAAGCAATAAATTACACAAACGTTGTTTAAATTTGCCTTATAATCTAGTACATTTATTTTTTGTGTTCGCGTTTATTAGCAGAATGACCAAGTTCTTCACATTTCAATCTTTTAGGGTTTGTTTTGAGCCTATACCTTGTAGAATTCAAGTCATGCTTGCTAAAAATTTCATAAATCAGTCCTAAAACTTGATTTTTGCATAATTTTTGCCTAGATCCCTGTTGCTTTCGGGTTCAAGTTTGATTATATCTGTTGCCCATTGGTACCTCCAACCAACATCATTTTGGATCTTAAAGAAAGAAATTAACTCAGGTTGAAAGGTGGAAATGTAGGAATTTGGATCGATCTTAAAGAAAGAAACTAATTCAGGTTCATCCAACCTACTTCTGGGGATTGCACAAAGGCACATATGGAATTTGCTAAGTTCTCAAGTAAGGCAAGAGAGATTGGGGGATAATGATTCTATTCATGATAGCTATGAAATAGATCCAAAAGTCGGTGGGTTACTTATGGTGCAAGTGCACGTTTGCTTCAAAACTTAGCATTGAAGCTACTTGTATAACCTTCTTCATCATGTTGCGAATGAAATTGGAGCACTTATTCTTTTGTGCATTCAGTGAGAAGAAATAAGATGAATTCAAACGTGCCGAAGACTTGGTCTTCATTGATAGTAATCTTCACCTTCTATCAAGGAGAACCCCACAATATATGCAAGGACAAACCAAGATGTGGGATGTAGCCAGCGATGCTTTCGATTCGTTTGAAGATGTTGCAGAGCTTGAAATTGCAACACTCTCTCTTGATGAACCAAAATTGGAGGCCATAGTGTTTACAAATGATGGTGATGGAGGTGATGGAAGCGATGATGATGCAATTGAAGTTGGGTCAAATGACGGCCAAAATGGGGCCATTGAATTTAGTGGATGGACAATCCTTTTTGTTTATGTAAAGATGTTTAATGTAGTTGCCAAACTTGCGGTAGATGATATTTTGAATGTATGATGTCAGATAGTAATTTTTTTATGGAATGAATGATGATCTAATGAAAATGTTATGGATGCTTAGTTGTTGAATTGTTATTTGTATGTTCTTTTACCCATAATTTGTTAAAATAATGTTCTTTTCATATATGAATTTACAATATGTACACATATATATTTATAATTTTTTATTGAACGTGTACCCCAACGTGTCCGTGCGTGTCCTAGTTTTTAGAAAAATGCTATATCGGCTTGTCTATGTCATGTCCACGTCCCATGTCCGTATCCATGCTTCTTATATAGAAAGAGTCAAAACTTACATGGGTGAAGTAGATAGCGGTACAGCACTAGAATGACGAGATGGCCACATAGATATATACCATACATATATAATATGTTTGTGACTGTGTATGTTGCTTAGAACAAGTGATGCAAAACGTGCACACGTCGAGATTTTGTATTTACTATTTTATTTATTTATTTTAAGCTAGTGTTTAATTAAGAATTTTATTTTTGTTAGGAGTCTTATTAATATTTGCTTCCTTTTCTATTGTGATTTAGTTTCCTAAGTTAATTGAGTTTTATTAGGAGTCTAGATTATGATTTAGTTTCCTATTTTGATTAAATTTTCTGGCCTATAAATATTAGGTAATTGCATTGTAATCTTTAGTTTGGAATTACACTCCATTTGGATCGTGAGGTGACATGAAAAAAGAAATGATTGTGGTTTCTCACCTAGGTGAGAGAAGAAAAGAAATGATTCTGATTTCTCACCATTATGTTTGGATGAATAAAAGAGAGGAGAATATGGTTTCTCACCTATCTTGTTTGGATAGAGTAAATACGAAAAAAGAAAGGAAAGTGTTATATTTCATTTTACCAAATTAACCTTCCATATTAATAAGCTATGTTTTTTTATAAAGATAATTTTGGTATTTTAGAAAACCTTCATTAAACCCAATTCCTTTCTCACCAAATCTCACCACTTTGGTGCGAAACAAAACATGGGTTTGTTGAGAATCTTATCCAAACTAGTGAAGGGGTTTCCTATTATCACCATTTCTTTTCCTTTCTCTCCAAACCCCTCCATCCAAATAGAGTGTTACACTGTGTTTGGTTAGGGGATTTGAGAAGGGATTTGGAAATGAAAAATGAAGAGGTATATGAAATGTGAATAAAATATACCTACATTTCATCTAATTTCACACGCCTTTTCCCTTTCCCTTTCCAAATCCCTTCCCAAATCCTCCAATCAAACACAGTGTTAATAAATAGATTGTTTTTAGGTTGCGGCCTTGTGTTAGGGCTAAGACCCTCTTCTCCTTCTCTCTTCTCCTCCGGCACAAACCCAGCTAGAGTTGAGCAGAATTTTAAGGATCAATATGGCACTAAATGCCACTGATTTTGTAGGGAACAAAGAGCAATTGTCTCAATAATTACTCGTATATAGCCTAGGTACTAATGAAACAATATATACAAATATACTCTATCACATACATTGGAGCATCAAGACCTCACTGTAACCTTTCATGTTTCTGATTTTTGCTACTAAATGTTTTCAATGATATAACTTCTGCATTTCGAGGACATTCATCGTTGGTGATCAACACCGGCTGAAGTGAGCATTACAAAATGATAAATATGAGGCAAAAGATAAGATACAACACACAAATGAATAGTACACCCACATAACAAAACAAGTGCAAGAACTAACAAAAATACACAAAATTAAATAATAATAATAATTATAAAATAAAAAAAAAAAGAAGTCTCATCAAGCGCATTGCAGAATCAATAAAAGAGCAAGTGATCGACAATGACAATCATCCAAACCCTAACTACCACAAATCAGAGTTTCCATGGATTGTGAAAATAATTAACGCTATAAGATGCGAAATAAATTATAGATACAAAAATAGTGAGTCTAACAGTGTCATTGAACAGAGTATTAACAAAGGAAAATGCTAGAAGTCCAAAATTTTCTACCAAATAAATGACCAAATGTCTCACATGGCTGTGGGCCCACAAAATTGCGGACCCCACACCCATATGAGAAATTTGGTCATTTGTTTGGTAGAAAATTTGGTGTCCCTAGCATTACCCATTAACAAATACAACCAATCCAAGAGAAGAACAGAGAAAGAGATAAACGAAGGACTTACTGAGAAAACGAACTCTCCATCTCACTCTCTCGAACTGTATATAGGTTCTCCAACGAGTGATGCCAAAATGCTTATGGGTGCGTGGGGTTTGGTTTTGCCAGATAAATTTAAAAAAATTAAATTAAATTAAATTAAATTAAATGGGGGTAGTTAGTGTAGAAATTTTTTTTAATTTGTTTGCTTCTATATTTTGGAAATAATTTTGTAGAAGGAGACTTTGAGATGATTTGATATTTTGTTGTAATTAAGAGCATCTCAAATGATTGAATAAAATTTTCATCAAATTTGAGTGAAAAAAAGTATTTTGGCTTAATCTGATATCAATCACTCCAACGTTGTACTGTAGTTTTCATCAAAACGAACTGGACATACAGGGGGACGACCGGCCGATCGACTAGAAAGAGCAAAATTTGTACAATTCTGTAATTGAATTTTCAAGCTTGAGGGTCATCCGAGGGATCGACCGAGTAGTCGACCTCCCAATGTAAAATTTGTACAAATTTTTGCATAAAATTGGTCATTCGATGGGTCATTCGGTAGTGAAAATATAACGGTAATGAATAGTGTTTTGGTTAAAGACCCAGTGCATTCTCAATTTGATGAAATTTTTGCTTAATTCTCAATTTGATATCAGTTTGGCGAAACTATTGGAAGGAGAAAAAGTGACTTTTTCATCAAATTTCAAATCTGATGCACAATTTGATACACCGTTAGAGATGGCCTAAATAGATTTGTATGGAAAAAAA